TCCAGTCGGCCAAGCCAGCAGCGTCATCAACAACGCTGGGGTCAGGCACCCAAGCGCCAGTGAAAGACCTCAGCCGCCTCTCAAGAAGCAGTCAATTGTGAATGGCTGCCCGCCTGGCAGGGTCCTGATCCTTGCACTGGACCGCCCTGCCCTCGAACTCAGAGTCGTCGTCGCTCTGGGAGGTGCTGAACTTGTAGCGGCCGTAGACCTCAAGGTCGGGGAAGAAGGCGAGCTCTTCATCCTTCGTGAGGAAGATGTCCCCGTAGTGCGGGAACGGCAAGCCGCCGTGCGTGGCGGCGTCGGTGCGCTCGCAGGCGCTAAACTCCTTGCGTGCCCCGCTTCTTCTCGTCAGTGGCAGCCGTGGCCTTAGCCCTGGCCGCAGCTCGCAGGGCCTCAGCACTGATGCGCTCGCCACCGCCCCGTGACGATCCAGCAGCGCTGCCGCCAGTAGAAGAGGCACCTGCAGCAGGAGCCGAAGGCTCCACGGGGCCCGAGGCTGGGGCTCCATCTGGGCCGCGGCGCCCCTTGGCCTGCAACCTGGCGTGGAGAACCTGGGCCTCCTCTCGCAGCTTGAGGATCTGCTGAGCGGCAGGCCCCAAGGCCTCCTGAACCTTGGCCTGCACGCTGGTGGCGAGCTCGCCGTTGATGCGGGCCCACTCCGTGCGCTCCGTCTCGTCGACCTCGAGGCCCTCCAGGTCGAAGTGGGGGCCATCGACGAAGCGCAGCGAGCCCTCGTCGACGAGCGTCGAGAGGTTGATGGCCGTAGCAGCGGATGCCGTCTCAGACCGCGGCGTCGACGGCGATGGCAGCTGCTTGGCGCACGCCTCCTCCCAGTCCTGCTGGGCCTGGCGCGCCGCCTCGGCCGCTGCATCCTCCGCCTCCTTGGCGTCGGCCAGCCAAGCCTCGCCTTCAATGACGCGGCGCGCACAGGTATCAAGCCAAGCCTGCGCTCGCCTGCACGCGATCCCCTTCGCGGAGACCTCCTCCTCCAAGAGGGGCGGGCGGCGCGGGGCCTCGGCAGGCTGCTCCTTCGCGGCCAGCTTGGCGGACAGGGCCGTGAGCTCGTCGCAGTCCCCCAGCTGCTCGCGGAGCAACGCGAGAGGGTCGGCTGGCCGCGAACATCACGCACGTCCTCTGGCGGCGGGCCGCCGCCGTACGGGTACCAGCCTGGCCCGTGCCAGACCCATGGGCGGCGCTCCTTCGGCGCACCCTTGGCGGCCCTCGGCGGCACAGGGGGGCCCTTGGCTTGGCCACCCGCGGGCGGCGCCGCCGCTGCGAAGGTGTCGAACGGGTTCGAGGCGAGCATGGGCGGCCGAACGACCACTGGCCCGCGGGCTTGTTGTCGGGAGCCGGGTGCGGCACCATCGGCGAGCAGCACTGGTAGCACCAATGGTTCGACTTGAAGTTCCAGCGGTAGCGGCACGCCGAATAGCTGACGTAGGTGCCCGACTTGTCCTTGCCCCTGCCGCAAGCACCGCTGGTACCCTTGCTGCTCGCATGGCGGCCCATGGGCTGACGGCCCTGCTGACTGTAGCAGGGCTCCACACCTGGGGATAACCAGGCGGAGAGTATGAAAGCAGCCAAGGACTAGCAGTGTCCGTTTGGTCCCCTGGGGAACAAAACATCTTGAGCCAAAATGGCTACGGAAGAGAATGAGAGAGAGAGAGAGAAAGAGAGAACGAGAGAGAGAGAGAGAGAGGAGGGAGACAAAGAGGGAGGAAGGGAATTAGAAAGATAGCTGTCCAAAACAGTGTTTGCAGTCCGTCTCACTGGCTGGTGGTTCCGATTGTTCGGCTGGCGCCAACCCATGGTCGCTCCATTGCCGCCTTGTGCTGACCTGGTTTTTCTGGGTCTTCAACTCTTGTTCGCCCCTGGGCGCCCAACGGCCGCCTTGCCGGCTGGCTTTGCTTGCCAGACATTCGGCCAATGGCCGCCCGTGGGTGCCTCGTGACCGTCTTGTGCGCTGGCTGGCGTTTCTGAAGCATCAGGCTACGAAGCACCACATGGACTGCACCACCTCATTCGACTGCGCCGTGCCCGCTGCACCACCACGAAAATTACGCCGCGCGGGTTGCACCAAGCATAGCTTGCACCGTACCAGGTGCATCCACGTAGTTTAATGCATTACGCTGGTTGCACCACGAATACTGAACAGCACTGATGGCATGGAATTCGGCTTCCGCCACATAGACGACACTCAGTAGCTTCCACCACACAGCTTGGAACACGTACACTGCACCGCTTGAGTAACACCACCTATCTTGTACCATACTCAAACTGTGCCTCGTACGTACATCTGTAGGTATGCGTGGTATATGTGTATATGCATATTGCATGTCGACGGTGAACCCAAGCAACACAGGCAATCCGTATGATATGGATGCGCGGTAGGGATGCCAGGTTCTTGGAAGGCCATGTCGACACTTTGCGAGCGGGGCGCGGCCAGCGAAAGCGGCCAAGGATGGGCCGAAGGGGAAGGATGCAAGGGTGACCTTGGAAAGTCTCTATTTGCTACTATGCAGGTTTACTGTAGGCGTCAATACTGCCTCATCAACTGGGTGACTAACTGACTGACTGGTCGCGCCTGTTAGCACTCGGCTTATGTCCGGCGGCCGACCACGACGTCTATGAACAAATCAATGTTTGACGACCGAGCGCGCAAGGCGTTGCGTCACCAATAGTAAGCCGTTCTACTCTCAGGAGAAAAGTGCGCAACCTCCGGCGCAACCGGGAGCAGGCCTTTTCTATACTTCGGCCGCCGGGCGCGCAACCTATGTACCTTGAAGCGACCAAATGCACACCGTATGGTGCAAACTGAAAAGTACAGTCAACACCAGTAGGAAGGGTGCGCGATAAGGGTGCACGCCCCTTGGACGCCCATATCGAAGCTCTTCGAGAGCTGCTGGCCGTCGAAAGTGGTGAAGAATGAACAGAAGAGGCAAGGATACAAGGGTACCCTCGGGAAGGTTCCCCATTCTTACGATCAGCTTCAACAGTAGATGGTGCAACCCGTTGCGCAACCTCTGGGCGGCCATCGCACTTGTTCCGAGGCCACGCTCCATTCATGCTAGCCGATTGGGCTGGCGGCGATGGCCAAGCGATGAGCTGGCTTGTGAAATGCGAGTCGTCAGCTGACGACTTGAAATCAGCCAGAGCAAAGGACAGATACACCTCCCATTCCTCTGGAGCACGATGTTTCTTGGATGCAAAAAAAACTCTGGAACACCAGAAAAAAAGATAATGTTTCGAGACGTTTGAGGTCAGGGGGATTGAACTGCCTGGCGAGCCACGAACCACGTGGCAAGGACTTCCAAATCCACCAACCATGTCCGGAGATGAGTCTAACGAGGCCGGGACAAATCTGGGGACGAGCGTGGACAGGAGACGGGGAAGGGAAAACGTTGATCTTTAATTTCCGACACGCTACCTCGAGTTGGAATCCCTGGGCAAACCGAAAACTATTCAGGATGCAAGCGACAAGTCCGTGCTGTAACGGGTCGGGGTGGCCCAGGGCCCACGTATTGAAAGGTCGCGACGTTCAGTAGTAGTAGTAGTAGTAGTAGTAGTAGTAGTAGTAGTAGTAGTAGTAGTAGTTAGTAGTAGTAGTAGTAGTAGTAGTAGTAGTAGTAGTAGTAGTAGTAGTAGTAGTAGTAGTAGTAGTAGTAGTAGTAGTAGTAGTAGTAGTAGTAGTAGTAGTAGTAGTAGTAGTAGTAGTAGTAGTAGTAGTAGTAGTAGTAGTAGTAGTAGTAGTAGTAGTAGTAGTAGTAGTAGTAGTAGTAGTAGTAGTAGTAGTAGTAGTAGTAGTAGTCGTCGTCGTAGTAGTAGTAGTAGTAGTCGTAGTAGTAGTAGTAAGTAGTAGTAGTAGTAGTAGTAGTAGTAGTAGTAGTCGTAGTAGTAGTAGTAGTAGTAGTAGTAGTAGTAGTAGTAGTAGTAGTAGTAGTAGTAGTAGTGGTGGTGGTGGTGGTGGTGGTGGTGGTGGTGGTGGTAGTAGTAGTAGTAGTAGTAGTAGTAGTAGTAGTAGTAGTGGTAGTAGTAGTAGTAGTAGTAGTAGTAGTAGTCGTAGTAGTAGTAGTAGTAGTAGTAGTAGTAGTCGTAGTAGTAGTTGTTGTTGTTGTTGTTGTATATCTGGGGAACGTTTGGTTGCCGCGCGCGAATCTACGCCGAGGTCGTTGGCAACCGAGAGGCACTGCAGGGCCGACCTGAGCACAACGGAACGTATGGAAGAGGGGGAAGCCGCAAGTGGCTGAGCATGCTCAGAGCATGCAGGTCTTGCGAGTGTGTGCCGGAGCAGGGTCGGGGGAACAGGAGGAGGAGGAGGACGACGACGATGAGGAGGAGGGACGGAAGGGATAAGATCTCGGGGAGAGTTGCCCACCCGCGGAGGCAGGGATCACATTCGGGCCTCCAGAGTCACACGTTCTATCCATGCCCGGCGTTCCCTTGCGCCTAGGGTGGGCAGCAGCAGTAGGGATATGGCTCGAGCGTCGATCGTCGAGTCTCCGTGAATCCTGGGAACTTGCAGAGAAGGAGGGAGACAGCGGCTGCTGGATGGAGGGGGGAAGAGGAATGCAGGCAAGCGATCTGCAATGAACTGACGCTGCAAAAACGACCTCGCCGTCCAGAGCACCGATCGGATCCTGGTAATCGTGGGCTGCTTCTCGGGCATCCTCTGGCAACTCTCCGAAGGCCCCGAGGATGCGACTGATAGAAGCTCCATGTGTTACCCCGAAACCAGGACATCGTTGGCTCCATGGGCGACCCCCCTTCAGAAGGCAGCCACCTTCCACTCGCCCCCGACTAAAATCCATTCAGATTCACTCCACAGGCACCGCCCGGGTTCCATCCCGAGACGCGCCCAGCCATGGCGACAAGATCCTCCAGAAAAAGACACTGGGACCTGCGAAACGACGACGTCGACGACGAAGAAGTCGCAAAACGTCGCCTCTGAATTACGGTTGCCTACTGCACGAGAATGGCGGCATGAGGCGCGGCGACGCGTCCTCGGGGCGGCGTCATACTTGTTGATCCACCTTGGCCCGCCGTGGCTTTTTGGAAGCGAGAGTCTGGATATCGAGCGTTGTCGCTGTACCCGCCGATTGCGAGACGCAGAATGATTTCGAATCGGCGACGCGTGAGATCCACAGCTCGACTTAACTTGGGAGGTCCGAGGGGAAAGAGAGAAGGGACTGGGAAGGCAAAGGGAGGACAAAGAAATGGGACAGGAAAGGGAGAGACGGGAAGAAGGATGGGGAAATGTAGCTGCAAACGGTGAACACCAAGGAGCGCATTCAGGAGGGAGGGGACATGTGAGGAGGAGTTGTTCCTCCATCTGCTCAGGGATGGGGGAGGGACGGGGTGGGGGGAAGGGGATGGGGAAGGGAATGATGGATACGCTCAAGGGTGTGTCGAAGACCATGCTGGTCCTCGAAACCTGGGCCCCCCCCCGTAACATTCTGGGCAAACGTTGGGCTGGCTTTGCACAAACAGGCTCGCCCATATAGAAGGGAACGCACACACAGACATAAACTTTCGGAGGCCCGCGCGGATCTCTCGGATCGGCCCTGGACCGCCGTGCCGCAGGGCACGGAGCGCGCCAATGGCGGCGCCGAGGGCACCGCCGAGGAAGGGGGGTCCAACGCCGATCCCACGGAACAGCAATATACATACATCAAGTGTGTGTGTGTGTATATATATATATATGTATATATATATATGTATATATATATATATATGTATACATGGTGTGTGTGTGTTGATGCGATGGTTAACTCTGTAATTTGAGAACTGGCCCTGCATGACCAGGACCGCTCACGAGGACGCGTCGAGAATCAGGGCCGGGTCGGTGCAGAACTGCAGGCCTAGACATCCGATGTTGTGACTGTCCTGACGACCTCGGCCATCGGAGATCCGGCTCCACCCCTGGCAGCGTCTTTGCGCCACGGACCATACTTGTGTGTGTATGTACGTATGGCTACGTATAGAACTACACAAACATACATACATACACACATACACACATACACACATACATACATACATACATACATACATGCATACATGCATACATGCATACATGCATACATGCATACATCCATCCATACATACATACATACATACATACATACATGCATAAGCGCACACGATAGTGTAAGACCCGTTGCGCTTCGGCCTCCAACACTGATCAGTGCATCTAGGAGCTAGGAGCCCAAGCTGTACAGTCTGTTGTGCCAGCCTGCTTGAGCATGTCTGCATACGCACGCATCTGAGGACGAGTCTCGCAATAGGAGTGTGTGTGTGTGTGGGGTGTATTTGCGCGTGTGCATGATAATGATGATACGTGAATGTGCGTGAGCGCATGCATGAACGTATTCTGCGATCTGCGCCCGCGTAAGCCTGCGCGCAAGCACTTAAAATCCACGATCGCGCCTCATTGCCGATGCGTCGGTGATGCGGCGCAATCTGGAGCAACATTTTGTCCACCGCCGGCCCGTTTAATCGGTCTCCCTGGCATGTCCCCGAAGGTCCTCGGAGGTCTCTGCAGGCCTCCAGAGGCCCAACAGCGGCAAAGCACGCTTCGGTTGGCGAAGGACCCAATCATATTCAATTGCGAGTGCCGCGAGGCATGTGAGAAGGAGTGGGACAAGCAACAGGACGGACTGAAACACATGTCCTGGCGGAGCGGCACCATACGGATATCGCTTCTGGTGCCCTCGGTGGAACTGTTTTATGGGGCCACAGAGCGTTTGAGTGGTGCACCGAGATGGGCGAGGCGGCGCCATGCGAACACTACCACTGGTGCCTTCGATGGACCTCCTCCTGGGATCACGAAGTGCGTGCGGGGTGTGCTGAGACATGGGCGGGGGACGCATGTTGACCCTGCCAATGGGGCCTTTGGTGGATCTCCCGATGGTGCCACGAAGCGTGCGGGGGGGTGCCGAATCCGCGGGGGGACGCATGCGGGGAGTTCCTACTGGGCCTTTCGGTGGAGCTCGCTACGGAGCCAAGGAACGTGTGATGGGTTTGCCAACATCAACGTATTCACGCATGCAGACCCGTGCCGAAATGGGAGTGGTCACGCACGCGGACTTTCCAAATGGGGCCTTTGTTGAAGCTCCCTATGGGGCCACGAAAAGGGGTGTGCCGACTTAGGCGTCTTCACGCATGCGGACTTTCCTTCTTGACAATCCTGCGGAATTCCCCCAACAGGGCCACGAAACGTGTGAGGGGTGTGCCGAAATGGGCGTGACCACGCATGTGGACTTTCCCGCTGGGGCCTTCGATGGATTTCTCTATGGGGCTACGAGCTGTGTGAGGGGTGTGCCGACATGACCTTGACCACGCATGCGGCCGTTCCTGCTGGGGCCTTCGGTGGAGCTCCCTTTGGGGCCCCGAAGAATGAAACGGTTGTCGAACTGGGCGTGGTCACGCATGCGGACCCGTGCCAGAATGGACGTGGTCACGCATGCGGCCTTTCTCATTGGTGCCTTCGGTGGAGCTCTATGTGTGGTCGTGAAAGGTTTGGATGGTGTGCCGAACTGGACGTGATTACCCATGCGGGATTTCCTGCTGGGCCCTTCGGTAGAGCTCCTTATGGGGCCTCGAAGGGTGCCAGAGGTGCGCCGAAATGGGCGTGGGTTGTGGCCTTCGGTCGAGCTCGAACTGAGTGTGGTTACACATGCGAGATTTCCTTTCAAGGCTTTCGGTGGAGCCCCATGGGGGCACGAAGCGCTCGAGGGGTGCGGCGATTAATTTGCCAACGAATCGCATCATCTACAGTGATGTATGGGTTCAGCTTCGCCAGCACGTCTGCGAGTGGTGCATGGAAAGACGCGGTCCACGCGCGACACTCCACATTGTATGACGTGGCATGGCATGCCATGCCGTCGCCCGCCGCCCGCCGACAGCTAACCGCCGGCCGCGGCGAACATCGCCCAGCTACCTGACTTCAGTGTTTCAGCACTCAACCTTTGTGAGCCGCCACCTCTGATCTGGACATGGCGTGGGCTGACTCTCGGCTGCGGCCCATGCAACGTCCCCAATGCTCACCGTAACAGAAATCGCGCCGATGCTCGCACCAGCTAAGCAGATGGACTGCAGAATTGCGACCCCCAGACAAGATGCCTTGCGTGCGCGAATCCCACCAGCCATTTAGGGCGTACATGGTTTCAGGAGCTAGTTCTTCCAACCTCCTTCTTCCCCTTCGGGGGGAGGGCTTTACATCCCTCTACACCCTCTCCCTGGGTCTGGAGGGGGCGTTCCGCGAGGGATTGGAGCGTCCAAGGCGGTCCAATATGGCCCTATGAGGGTCACAGCTGGCCCAAGATGCCTTCCCAAATCGTGCAATACAGCCCAGTCTGGTCCAATGTAACTTCCAACATGCCTCCAATAACTCCCAATACCGCCCTAAGACGGTTCCAAGTGGCCACGGAGCCTCCTAAGGACCCCCCTCCCAAGAGACTCGAATCCGTTCAAAACATTTAGAATGAATGTGTGTGTTGTCGCCTCGCACGTTCGTCTCCGATGGGTTGAGGCCTCAAGATGGCTGCACGATGGCCCGAGACCGCCCCAGGAGGAGCCCAGAAGGGGCCCAAGAAGGCCTCCGGAGCGCCCAAGAGGGCCCCAAGAGGCGGCTCTGAAAGTCCAGGGAAGGGGAAGCGCCAGGCCCGTTCGCATCCAATTTTGCCTCAGCATCCCTCTATAAGCCCGCCAAAATGGCTCCAAGAGAGCCCAAGAGGGCCGCAAGAGGGCCCCAAGAGAACCCACAAAGCCTCCACACTTCCACTAATTGGCCCCAGTAGGGCCCCGCGATGGCCCCAAGAGGATTCCAAACCGTGACTGCATGGTGCTACGAATCCCTGATCAGGACAACTCGCCGGGTGGTTATCTTTGGATGGGCTGGTGGGGATACGCGCAGCATCAATCAATTCGAAGAAAGCAATCCTTTGCCAGCTAGCTCACAGAGCCACACTTCCCAAGGGCCTCCATTTGAAATGTTCACCCACAGCGCAGCCCATAAAACATGATACGCGCTTGTCATGGTCTGCCGAATAGCCACGACGCAATTGTGAACACAAGGAAGGCACTCTAATACGAAACCTCGCATGCGCCTGGGCAATCCCGTGTAACGATTGCCATTGTCCTTGCAACAGAGTTGCCGCTCTTGTGCTACTGTTCAAATGACGTGACCGAGGTGAGGAAAACTGTCGACGCTCCAGTGCTCCAAATGCTGACGGATGATGTCCACAGCAGACTCCTGGCCTCAACTCGCTAAATCTTCCCACTGCTTGTAAAATGCTTCCTGCTTCCCCTCCAATCTCGACCGCTTCTCGAGGAGTTCTGACACCACCTGGGGATCGGAGCCTTTGCTTGCCAATTCAGCATCCAATTGCCCCAACTCTTCCTCCAAGCTCAGTATGTTCTCCTCCAAGCGTTGAGCTTGCCGCCTCATCCAAGCGCGCTCCTTTGGGGAAACAAAAGGTCGCCATACCGCTACTCCACGGAACTCTCATGGGGCGCGTTCTGACCACGAGTTCAAGGCGAACGCGGCCAGGGCACCGACGGAAGGGTAACGCTATCTGTACATTTTCCTCCCCCGATCCTTGTCCTGTTTCTTGAGCTGCTGTGCCAGCGACAACGGTTTTGCCGTCGGTGGCCCAGCCTTTGACTCCTCGTCCATCGTCTCCTTGGCCCCCGACCCTCGCGACAACTGCGAAGGGTCCAATGGCGTCACCTTCAGGACGTCGAAGGAGCCGCTGAGCTGCACTTGGCCAGCAGGTGCCCCGCTGGCCTTGCTTACCCGGCCGCAGGTCGTCAAGTGCACAGGCACGCCGCGCGACCCCTTGGCCTTCGAGTAGAATGCCGCGATGCCGGCAGCCTTCCTCACAACGTCGTCGGGTGGCTTGCCGGCTCCCTCGTCGACACGCCGAATCACCACGTGCGCGCCAGGAACGCCTGCTGCATGAAGCCACGGCTCGGAGGCGCGGCCCTCCTCGATCGAGAGCCTGTCGTTGTCCTCGGATGTCTTGCCAGCTAGCAACTGCCATGAGGTGCCGTCTTCCGCAATCACCTCGATGGACCTGCAGCCCGCAAAAGGCGCTGCCAAAGCACTCCGCGCAACACGGCTGCAGCGGCTGCTGCAGCACCCTGGCGACAAGTTGGGGAGCGGCGGGCCGCACACGCTGGCCAGGAAAGGCCGCAACACAGGCTCGGCCCTGGCCGTGGTGCACACAAACGGCCCAAAGAGGGCACGAGCATGAAACGCGCTCTTTTGAGCACCTGCCACCGCAACCACGACAGTCAATCTGAACAACCCAATCCCACGTGCACTCCTCTTGACGATCGTGACTTCCGTGGTGCCGCGTCTGCGACCTCCGAGCAAAACTGCCATCGCATTAAAAAGAACAGCTGCTCCGCTGAGGCTTGGGCTGCGGGTGAGAACCATGTAAAAGAAACCGGGTTTAGCCAAAATGGCTACGGAGCGGAAAGGGGGAGGGGTATGTGGCGCATTGAAGGCAGAGCCAGGGATAGGATGAGGGAAGCGGAAGAAGAACGAAGAGACACGGAGCGCTACGGATTCGAGCCGAAGATAATCATCGTGACGAAAGGCCCAACCACATGCAGCTGCGAGTTCCGCGAGCTAAGTGAGAAGGAGTGATGGGTAACCACAAGGACAGACTGGGCCGCATATCCTGGCAAGGCGGCGCCATGCGAACACCGCCACGTGAAGCGGAAACCCGCTTGCGCGGTAGCACAAACCACCAAAGGCCGGAGAACGGTCACCAACGTCCCAACGATCATCACCCACGATTATCCTGGAGAAGATGCGGGGAGACAATTGTTGGATGAACTTCTTGAGATCGTTGAACTACTACAGGGCCCATATGGGGGACTGTCACGCCAGATTAGGCCACAGATTGAGCCGAATTGCGCCAGAAAGTCTGGTTGCTCCCTGGTGGCGCTTTCTTCGAAACAAAGCAGGGGATCCCACGATTACGCTCAGATGCCTGCATATAAGTTGGAAACGCACCCCGAGAATTCAAAACAAACGCTGCATACTATTTCCAGCGTGGACCCATAACAGTGAGTGACTGTACTGTGGAAGTGCAAGTTGTGCGGAGCAGGATACGTGGTGCGAACTATACGGTGTGCGAAACAAGCTGCCCTGGAGCGGAAACAAGGCGGTGCTGGATAAGCTACGTCGCGTGCGCGAGGTGGTGTGAGCTATGTTGTGTAAGCTATGCGGTGAGACGGACGTGATGTGGGCGATGCTGTACAGGCAGAGCGGTGTGAATTATGTTGTGCACGCCACGTCTGTTGCCCACCCAGGGCACGGGGCGCCCACGAGGCGCCCACGGGAACCCGCGGGCGGGAACGTGGCGAACAATTGGCGGAACCAGCCGGAGCACGAGGCGCCCACAAGCGAGAACGGGGCGGAGGCGCCCACGAACCGCCCACGACCGTCCTTTTCCGCTCTGTTGGAGTACTCCATGTCTCGCCCTCCCAGTACTCGACGCCCCAGCGGCAGCCGCCGGGCGGCGCAGGGGCAGGCCGAGAGGCCCGCGTGCTCTGTGCCTCGGTCGTGCCGAACCTCTGCGAGGGGTCCTGCCAGGGGCGGCTGCGCGCACGCCCCTCGCGATGCGCTCCCGGGCGGTCACGAGCGGGCAAACAAATCCGTATGAGGACCCTCGCTGTCTGGATTCCGGAGCGCGATCCCACGGATACGCGGTGGCACGGGTAACCTTGGCGCGGGGCATCCGCGAAAAAACGCCTCGTCTCCGCGGGGTCGCAGCCCAGAGGCCCCGCCCGCGAGGCCGCGGATACGGATGTCTTCCGCCCACGACAGGGGCTCCCCCCTAACCAGCATGATCGAACCACCAGCGGTGATGACCTGCGCGCGGCAGCTGGATGTCGAGTACCGCGCGCAGGTCATCACCGCTGGCCCGTCGGGGTTGGCCATGGGGGGTCGCCAGGGGCGCTTCCCATCGGCCCGGCCCGTCGGTTGCGGTCGTCTAGCCTTCGCCCATGGAAGCAGGACGCTGCCCAGACCCCCCGTGCGTCGTCAACAAAAATCGTGTCGGACAAGTGGTGTGCTGCCATTTACGGCCTCTGGGGGCCCTCGCTGGGCCCTGGGACTGTCAAAGCACGACTCGGGATAAAAAGCTGGCCGCGGGGAATAGGCCGAGACCTCCGGGAGTTCACGTTGTGGAAAAATCATGACGTCGGGGGTCTGGGTTGCCTGCGCCACACAATACGCGGGTGCTCTGTGCCCTCCTTGCTAACTGCGGCTGGGCCCTCGTGTTTGGATGCGGCGCTTGCTGCTCAATCTCCTCCCGCCTCCCTCCTCCCTCTTTCCTCCTCCTCCTTCCTCCCTCCCCCCCTTACTCATCCCTCCTCCCTCCTCCCCCCTCCTCCCTCCCCCCCCTCCTCCTCCGCCTGCCTCCAGCCTCCGCCTCCCTCTCCCTCCCTGTCTCACTCCCCGTATCCCTCCCCTCCTCCGCCAGTCTCCCTCCATCTCACTAGCACCACATCATCCCAACGCATAACAGTTCATGGTATGTCAAAACAGGACATTTAAAGACACACCTTAACAACACATGCAATGACATAATGGAACATACAATAAGCACACAATGGCACAACATATCATACCAAACTACGTAACTGCAACATCCCGGAACATGACGAAGCATACCGTGACAGAGCCCAGCGTTACACGTTATCACATAGCAGAACGCAACATATATCACATAGCATGTCCTGACCAAACAGGGCCTGGCATATCCCAGCATCAAGCACAATATGACATAGCAACGTATACCATGTCATTGCTGAGTTTGTTGGGGTATCGACGGCAACGAATTGATTCAAACATCGTAGATGTCATCATAGTGCAGAGGATACCAGAAAACAACACACTTTACTGAACAATAAACAGAGTTCAACGTAAGCAGAATACCATAGCAACATTCTGTCACTGCGAATACTCCTGAGGCAGTAAGCCTGACACACCACCACATAGTATACCTTAATTGAAGAGGTCTGCCTTAACATCGCAAAGCATGGTGTACTGTAATGAACTCGGCACGACGAAAACAACACCACTGAACAATGTATATCACAACATGCGAACATAACATATCCTGTCGCAACACAGTGCCACGGAACATAACAACACATTTTAAAACAACACAAACCGTGATTGAAGAGGAACGTCGCTGCAAGACATCATACACCACACTGTAATCTCATCAAACGCGACGTGTGCACCGAGGTCAGGCTGTCCACTGCTGGACCCAACAAACGGGGCACCAACCGATTAGACGACGTATCCGTAACATGCGTCACGACGTCACGCCATATTGCCCCACTCCTTCTAATCTTGACAAAAATGGTAACGACTACCACTTCGACCACTACTCCGAATACCACCTCTACTACTACTACTACTACTACTGCTACTACTACTACTACTACTACTACTACCACTACTACTACTACTACTACTACTACTACTACTACTACTACGACTACTATTACTACTACTACTACTACTACTACTACTACTACTACGACTACTACTACTACGACGACTACTACTACTACTACTACTACTACTACTACGACTACTCGCAGAAATACTACTACTAACTACTACTACTACTACTACTACTACTACTACTACTACTACTACTACACTACTACTACTACTACTACTACTACTACTACTACTACTACTACTACTACTACTACTGCCTACTACTACTACTACTACTACTACTACTACTACTACTACTACTACTACTACTACTACTACTACTACTACTACTACTACGACTACGACTACGACTACTACTACTACTACTACTACTACTACTACTACTACTACTACTACTACTACTACTACTACTACTACTACTACTGGCACTGGCAATGGTACAAGCACTACTGGAACTAGCACTACTAAAACTGCTACTACTAAAACTACGACTCCTGCTGCTACTGCGACTGCTACTGCCACTGCCACTGCCACTGCTACTGCTTCTTCTACTACTATTATTACTACTACCACGGCTACGACAACTACAACTACAACTACAACTACTACAACTACAACTACTACTACTACCACCACCACCACCACCACCACCACCACCACCACCACCACCACCACCACCACCACCACTACTACTACTACTACTACTACTACTACCACTACTGTTACTAATACTACTATGACTACTGCTACTACAAATCTACTACTACTGCTTCTGCTCCTCTTGCTCCAACTGGCTCTTGCAAGACATAGTCTGGAATCTCGCACCACACGTTTTGGAGCCTAGTTTTTCGCCCCAAGGGGTGTTTTGGCCGTCGGGTTTCAAAGGGACTGTAACTTGGGACCTGGTCAGGCCGCCGCAATGGCCGACACCGCCGGGCCATCCGCACATCGGTCCGATGGGCGCGAGCACCGTCGGGATCAAACGCCAGAAATTGCGGTGGGGTTCGTTCGAAATCAAATAATTCAACTCTCTTGTTTACGAGTATGGCTTACTCTGCTGATAATTATGAATTCTGCCATCTATGTTTTTGAAACCTCCATTCTGGTATGTAACCGTGTACTCTGGTCTCTCCTCTTTTTGTTCCGAACGCATCTGTCCACCATACCGCCTGTTCAAAGGTACACTTAGCAGCAGTGCTAGTTGCGGTGGTAGTACTTGTACTAGCTTTTGTAGGAATAGTTGTCGTCGCCATCGTCGTCGTAGCCGTAGCCGCAGTAACAAAATTAATCGTTGCATCAGTGATGGTAGTAGTGGTAGTAGGGGTACAAGTAATGGTAGAACAAATTGCAATCTGGCGTGACTTCGTGACACCTGTCACGTGTGATACGTCGACCAATCGGTCGGTGCTCCGCCTGTGGGGTCCAACGGCCAGCCTGACCTTGGAACGCACGTCACGCCTGATACTGTTACGGTACGGTGTCTGCACCGCGCTATAACATGATAAATGTTGTCTGCGTATGTTATGTGAACGGTTGCCCATTGCTGTTGATTACGTCATGCTACGTTCACTACTCTGTCAGATGCCCTGATCGGTCATGGCACACATCTTCGAAGAAAGTATAGTATCTGGTGTATGTCAAGCTCGTTGCCGTAAGCGTAGCAGGCATTAAAGAATTGGGCTATGGTATCCTCTGCGAATTGGTAAAAGTCTGATGGTCTAAAACATTCGTGGCCGTCGCGGTAGCACAAACTAAATTGTTCGGGTACGGTCTGCTATGATCTGTGATGGCCTACCCTGCAATGCTCCGTTATGTCATGGTATGCGTTGTTATGGTATGTAATGGTCGGTCGAGCATTATGGCAGGCACTCTTCTGTGGAAGCATGGTAATGGCATATATCTTACGCCCTGTTATGCTATCAGAAGTTATGTTGGGATCCGTCATGCGATGCTTTGTCGTGCTAGTAAATGCTACGAGCCTGTATTGTGGTACGATATGGTATGTCAGTGCGTGACATGGTATGGTATGTTGTCTCACGCTATGGTATGGTATCCTATGTCATTTGCTGTTGTGATATATAGTGTTGATGGTATGAACTAAATGTTCGATGATGTAATTGCATGCGCTGTGTTGGAATGTCCTGCTATGTTCTGTTCTGACAATATGTAGTTTCGTATGCAGTGCTATGCTATGGTGTCATGACATAGCATGCTCTGCGATGCTATGCTGTATCATGCCGCGCCGTGCCACTGTACGATGTTTCATGTCATGGGATGGCCTGTGCGCTGAGGCTGTGCTGCGGTGTAATATGTTATGGTATGATATGTTTTGTAATGATGTGTTATGGTATGATATGGTATGATATGCTCTGTTATGTCATGGCAGGAGGTGTGGTGATATGCGCTGATATGTATGATCTACTATGCCATAGCTGTGTGTGTTAACCGATGTATGTCCTGCTATGGTGTAGCATAGCTTGTCACGCCCTTTCATGGTATTGTGTGTCATCCTCGCTGCGATGCGATATGTCATGATATATGCGATGTGATGAAGTTCAGGTTGTGGTGTGGTCTGTCATTGTATGGTATGGTAAGACATGTTTCGTCATGATATGCTCTGGTCTGCTATAATATGCCATGGTATGTGTGCTCCAGTCTGTCGCAACATGCGCTGGTATGCTGTACTGTGCTGCGCTATAGCATGTCATGCAATGTGATGTGAGGCGGTGGCATGTCCTGCTTTGGTATGTTCAGTTCAGCGGTGTGCTCTTGCGGTATGCGTGCGTTGTCATGGTATGCGATCATATGTGCTGTGCTGCTGTGCTATGTCATGCACTGCTCTGTCATGGCGTGATATGTTACAGTATAATATATGTCATGATGTGGATTGTTACGCTCGAATATGTCATGTTACGGTTGGTGCTATGCTCTGCTCAGTCATAGCTGATCGTGTGGAGCTGTACTGCAGTCTGCTATGTTATAACACCGCTCTGTTATGTTATGACTTGTCGGCGCGAGGCGGGACACTCGGGAGATCTAGGGATCTGGCGGCCGCGGCATGCAGAGTGGCGCGAGGCGGGATTATCGTGGATACTCGGGAGCCTGGGGATCTGGCGGCCACGGTATGCAGAGTGGCGCGAGGCGAGATTCTCGGGGATACTTGGGAGCCTGGGGATCTGGCGGCCACGGTATGCAGAGTGGCGCGAAGCTGGATTATCCAGAATACTCAGGAGCCTGGGAATCTGGCGGCCGCGGTACGCAGAGTGGACGGGTCGCGAGGTCTGCTCTTAAAATCCAACGGCCCCAGCCTGTCGGGTGGAGAATGTTTCCTTTGGACTCCACAGGCGCACCATGTTTTTTCATAGCGATTCCTTCTGAATTCAACTGAATTCAAGATGCAACGAATGGTGCTCTGCTGCACACGATTGGCGTCACGCAGGCGCCGTGGTGTACAAAGGCGCTGTGGTGCACGCACGCACTGGGGTGTACACTGGTGCTGTATTGCACACGGCTGCTGTGGCGTAAGCGGGCGCTGTGGTGTACACAAGCGCCGAAGTGCACGCAGGCACTGTGGTGCAAACTGGCGCTGTGTTGCACGCGGCTGCTGTGATGTAGGCGCTGTGGTGTACACGGGCGCCGTGGTGCACGCAGGCACTGTGGTTCACACAGGCGCTGCGGTGCAGATCGCCAACTACATGCTTCTCTTACCCGTCCTCGGTTACTCCTAAGCATTCACAGACGCCGCCGGCGCGAACCGTGACGTCACTGGCAATCTTCCCCCCCCTGGTGACGGCCGCTAGTCATCACCCCGGAATGCAGCGACAGGCTCCTTCGGACCTGCGCCGCCCTCGACAAGACCAAGCTATCTGGGGGGATAGGGAGGGGGGGGGAGGCGGGCCCAACAACCTGAGCTATCTCACCGGGCCCTCTAACAAAAACAAGCTCCTCCGCCTCTGGCACCGGGAAAAAACACGAAACCAGGAGAGCCCAGACTCGTATCGAACAATCGGATCGGCGATCGACATGGATCGGCTTGGCGGAAAGCGGCAGCCAAATCGGGAGAAGACGAATCGGCAGAAACTGGCAAGCTGGTAAGGCTTCCGTTGAGAGATCGGCATCCGAATTGGAATCCGAAGTCGCATCGAATCGGAATCGGAAGCCATCAAAATCGAGTCGAATCGGAGAAATCGAACTGAGCCCTCTGACCCTCCGCCCATGGCTGGGGAAGCCAAAACATACCGATACCTCCTCGGGCCTCTCCTGGGGCGCGTTCTGACCGGAATTGCGAGGCGAATCCAGCGGTGGCGACGAGGGCCTCCCAGGAGGCCCAAAACGGCGAAAAAATGGGAAGGTTAGCAGTCCCTCGACCTGGACCAAAAATTGGCGGCGCGCAGGGGGGGCAGGGAGAGGTGTGGAAGGCTTCTCAGACGGAGGCTGCTTCTCAGAAGGCGCGGGCCTTACGTTTCTGGACGAGGCCCGCGCCCTCTGAGGATCCGCCTCCTCCCAAGAAGCCCCCCCCCCCCCCTCCTGTGAATCTCAGATAGATTTCTAGGGTTCTGTGTGACTGGAGCTCCCGACCCTGTGTCCGTCCCGTTCGGGTCCTCGGAGCTCTTGAACCCATGTGCAACCACCCGCACGTGCTCTGTTTTCCTGTCCGTAGCCGTCCGGCTTATAGCCGGGCCAAGAGGCCCCTTTTGGCGATTTTGACATATCGGTCCGAAGCTCAGGGGGACCACGCGAGATAGAAAACGAGTTTCTCTCATCATCAACGTTGTGCTCTCACTTTGGACAGTATATCCAAGCTCTACGAGCCCACCGTTTCTGCTGTATTCCAAGCTCTGCGAGCTCAACATCTCCGCCTACCTACACAACCGTGAGGGTCATATCCTAGTGCTTGTGAGGGTTTCTCGAAGTGAAAGGCTGAAGATCCGTGGAAGACACGCTCCACTGACATTGGTAGCGAGACGAAGTGGCAGCCCACTTCGAGGTCGATCTCCAAATCAAGATGGCGAACGATCAGCAGTCCGGAATCAAGATTCCTGTGTGGAATGGTGAGGCCTCCACTTTAGAGAGTTTTGAGGAAAAGGTTAAGTTGTGGGTCCTGGGCACAAAGAAGGATGACAGGATCTACCTCGGCCCGCGTTTGGTTCAGGCAATGGACGAGGATTCGCAGCAGTGGTTTGAGGCAAAGAAGGTTTCGCTCGACGACCTCGTCACGGAGGACGGAGCGGAAAAGGTCGTGGAGGCGCTCAAAGGAGTTAGAGGCACGGTCACGATGCAGGAAGCTGTGTCAAAGTGGCGAGAGTTCATGCGTGGAGTGCATCGGCATCCAGGTGAAGGTCCAAAGAGATGGGTTTCTCGCTTTGACATCCACTTGAGCAAGATCGGTAAAGCCCTCCACGCAGTCTGTGACGAGATTCCGGCCCAAGGTTTCATGCACGAGTTCATCCTAGGTTTGATCCTGCTGGACGGGACGGGCTTGGACCCGTCAGAGCAGGCCGCGGTGCTGGCGGCCAGCGGCCCTAAGGGCAACTCATACCTCTACCAGGACGTAAAGAAGGCGCTAGCTGAGCAGTGGTCGGAGGTGCAGCTGGCATCGCGGGACAAGCAGAAGGGATACAAGGCCAGGAAAGGCGCTCACGCGGTCTTCGACGACGCCGACGAGCTCGCCGCCTACGCCGAGGAGGTCTACGACGAGGCGTACATCGACGGGTTCGAAGAGGCGGCAGACATCACGGAGTCGGCGATGACGGCAGCCGAAGACCTAATGACCGCTGCGCTCGGTGAAGAGCCTAGAGGAGACGAGGAGCAAGGAGAAGATGCGCTGGCAGCGGCGGCCTCGACTCACGAGACGGACGAGTGGACGGAGACGGCCTTCGCGGCTTCGAGGACGTTCGTGGAGGCGAGGAAGCTGATCAACGAGGTCAAGAACGCCAGAGGCTACTTTCCGGTGGTAGGTCTGGGCGCCTACGACGCGCTCCCGACTCAACCCGCCGCTGGAGCTGGACGCGGACGTGCAGTGAGTCGGGGCGGACCGCCTCGCAAGGGCAAGGGCAAGGATCGAGGCGGAGTGGCAGGCCGCGGCAAGGGTCGTGGTCAGAGTCAGAAGCGGCCAGCAGCAACCCCGAAGGACTCGAACCCAGGGACCAACGAGAAGTTCAAGGGGGCTTGCCTACTCTGCGGCGAGCCAGGTCACAAGGCAAGGGACTGCCCCAATCGGGGCAACGGCGGCGCCCAAGGGGAGAGGCGCCGGGCTTTCAACAGCTTCGTCGGCGCGGCCGACGGCTATAGCAAGAAGGTCGAGTTCAAGGACATCCAGGACGTGTTCGTCGGCACGGTCAACGACGAGGGCGAGTCCAGGGACTGCGACGAGGAGGAGCTGGACGAGTTCGTGGCCTTCAGCATGGACGACTGCAAGGGCTACGCGCTCCTGGACGGTGGAGCGTCCAGATCAGTTGGAGGCGTGGAGCAGCTGGAGTACGTGAACGAGCGCCTGAGTGAGCCCATGGAGGTCAGCCCGGACAAGAGTCTGGGATTCTCATTTGCTGGAGGCGACCGGGCAGACGCACCCTCACGGGTGACCTTTAACGTGAAGGTCCTGAACGATGAGGCTGTGAGCATCTACGTGCTGGATCGTAAATCCCCGGTGCTGCTTGGAATCGATATGCTGAAGAAATACGGGCTCGTGATCGATTACTTCCACAACACCGTGTACTCTCATCGGTTCAAGCGTGAGATCCCGAGTAGAGTGCTCCCGTCAGGTCACTTGGCACTGAACCTTACTGCTCTGGGCAACGAGGCCTCGGGCGCCAGCAGCGAATAGGGACAGCACCCTGGTCGCGACAAAGGGACTGTGGAAAAGTCGTCGTCCAAGTCTGTCGCCACCAGGGGCCCCAAAGACGCCAATGAGCTTCCCCAGATGCTCCAGAAGTTGCTCGAGGTCAGTGTCTCCATCATGGGCCCCTACCCCGAGCTAAGCCAGTCTATGCTACAACCTATTCTTTGGTATCTATGGGAACGGGCGGACTGGAAAGAAGGTGCGAGAGTTAGTCGGGATATATGGGTCGACTGCTCACACGCTCTAGTTCGGGTTCATCATCGGGTTCGTTTTTCAGAGATGTGATCTTCGAGATTTTGAAGCTCTTAGTTTAGCCAGCTTATCGGGGAAACGCCACACTCATATGATTCGAGAAGACGGGGAACACATGATGATCATCGAGAGACTATCGAATAAAACAGCTCGACAAGTCGAACATTCGAGATGGGTCGGTCTCACTATCTACCCACGATCCTTGTGTTCAAGAACCGTTTCGGCTCAAGAAGTTCAACGAAGCAGGTCTCAGTTCGAGAGCGCGTTCCAGGCTGATGTCGAAATGCGCCCATCTGGACCAGATGCGTCAGGGGTCCAACCTTGTCGTGGACCTGATCCAGTGCAGGAGCTGCGGGGAGATCCTGTTCAAGCACCACTTCGCGAAGACGAGCGACCAGATGCTACTCCAGTGTGTTCGCTCCCGGCAGTATATCCACCGCCTGGAGACCACGGGTACGGCCCAGCCCGTGGCGCCCAGGATGAACCAGTCGAGCTCCTCGGACAGCGAGGCCACGGCGACGACAACGGCGCCAACGTCAATGCCTCCACCGAGCCCTCCAGGGGCCACCAAGAAGTTGCCCGAGCGCCTGTCGGCCGAGGTCATTCGGAAGCTCACGGACACGGAGGTGCAGCAGATCATCGAGAGCGAGAGGATCCAGATCCGCCAGGAGGAGCAGCAGCGCCTCGCGAAGGAGATCCTCCAGCAGGGCCTCATCGACACGCCGACGGACCCGACGGAGGTGGACGACAGGGCCAGGCCGAGCAAGAGGCTGGGCGTCAGCCAGATGCCCAAGGCCGAGTCGATTCCCGTGCCAGAGGATCTGCCGACACCGTCGGGACCGCCGAGGCCAGCCGGAGACCTTCATCTTGTGTGAAGAGCTGTGTATTCGGAGCGCTGATCGCGGCGACGGCGGCTCTGGGAGAGATACCGGGCACCGCCTGGGAGGCAGCCGAGACCTATGGCAGGCTGGACCTCGCAGAAGTGGCCTGTGTGTCCGACTCCAGGCTCACGCACGCGATGATCGAGCAAGGAGGCAAGGCCGAGAGATTCAGCAACTGGAACGGGTATGACTTCTCCACCAGGTCGGGTGCAGAGAAGCTCGTGAAGGCTTTGCGGGTCAAGAGGCCTCGAAGAGTTTGGTTTTCCCCACCGGTCGGAGCAGAGTGCCCATGGCAGAATCTGAACCCCGTAACGGCGGAGTCGGAGAAGAAGCTGATCAAGACCAGACGTATCCAGCGGAACGTCAAATGGGCTATCGGTCAGCTGCTGAACGAGGGTTTCTGCGACATATACCTCGAGCAGTCGGGACGCTGCAGGTCGTGGACAGGCAACTTCAAGGAGCTCAAGGAGTCCATGCATGGCTGCAGGATTCACGGGTGCATGCATGATATGAGAGACGAGCAGAGCGGTCTCCTCATACGCAAGGACTGGCACATCGCGACCACTGACCCGCAGTTTGAGAAGAAGGTTGGGAGGACCTGCCCTGACTTGCATCTGCATATGCCGCTGGAAGGCGGCACGAGGGTGGCACTGTCGGCGAATTATCCCGTGAACCTGTGCCGGAGGATCGCCCAGCACTTCATGACCAGAGCCACCTCGGACGAGGCCCTCGCCTATCTGCTGCAGGCCCACCGCGAGTTGGACGACGAGCTGTGTGCAGCGGGCTACAGGCGCTTGCGGGAGAAGCGGCCCGCCTCTGAAGGACCACCACCGCCGCCGCCGAAGCGCCCAACGCTGGAGCCCACAGCTCCCGAGAGTCAAGGAGAAAGCGCAGGCGGTCAAGTACCAGCTCCTGATCCTGACGAAGCTGGAGATGCTCAAGTCCCTCCAGAAGGCGAGGCGCCCCCGCCGACGCCCGAGTCGGGAGGTCAAGAGCAGTCGATGGGCAATCTCAGACTGCCACTGCCAAGGAGTGTCCAGAACTGTACCAAGGCAGAGTTGCGCGAGCTGGAGGCCATCATCGCACACATCCATCGGAATTTCGGACACTGCAGTATGAGCACGGTCAGCGCCGCCCTCAAGTCTCGCAAGGCGGACCAGAAGCTCATCGACCTTTGCAGCCACTACGAGTGTCCGGCCTGTAAGGCAGCTCAAAGGTTTCAGATGCGACCTATTGCCAGCTCAGAACCAACGTTACCCGCTCCTGGTACCGAGATGGGTTGCGACAATTTCTATTGGACACATCCTCGACGAGCCTACCAAATACGTGGGACCCTCCGTGCAGACTATGGCAGCCGCTTTACCCAGACGTCGATTCACTGTCAGAAGGGGGTCGAGGAGCATTGCGGCAACACCACCGCGAAGGAGATGAAGGAGGTAGTGCTGAAGGACTGGATCCACCACTACGGCAAGCCGGAGGTTTTCAGGACAGATCCCGAGGGTTGCTTCAAGCAGGTCGAGCAGCGCGCCTGGGTCTCGGGTAACGGCATGGAGTGGAAACCGGAACCCGGAGAAGCTCACTGGCGAATGGGAGTGATCGAAAGGTGCATCGAGACCGTCAAGGAAATCGCCACTCGCCTCGCCTGGGAGCTACCAGACGACACAGATCCCGCGGACATCTTTCGCTGGGCTTGCGTGGCCAACAACGACCTGATGCGACACCAAGGCTACAGCCCGATGATGCTCATGATGGGTCGCACCCCGTCGGGGCAAGGCCTGGAGCAAGTGGAGAATCCTTCGGTCCTGAGCGCAAATGTGGTGGACAAACACTTCCAGGAGGTCACGCGCATCAAGGCGGCTGCCTACAAGGCGTGCGTGGACCACTACCTGTCGGAGAAGACGAAGCGTGCCCTGCTGGCCAAGACGAGGCCGTTCAAGACATGGGAGCCTGGTGAGATGGCACACTACTGGCGAGGTGCGAAGGGTAACAGTCACAAGACTCGACCAGGTATCGCTGGTCGATTTCACGGTCCCGCCACTGTCTTGATGCAGGAGCGCGAGATGAAGAACGGAGTTGCGGTGCGTCGAGGAGTTGTCTGGCTTGTTGACGGTGACCGTCTCGTACGAGCAGCGGCCACTCACCTCCGCACGACTACGAAAGCGGAGCGGACCCTGGAGAGCATCTCCGCAGGGAGCTCCGACCACTTCAAGAAGATTCTTCAGGAGTTGACGAAGGGTGCTTACGACGATGTGGTGGATCAGCCTGGCCCGGGAGAATGGGACGATATTCCAGAAGGAGAGAACGTTGAAGTACCAGACCCACCCAGGATGACAACTCCAAGAAGTATGGCATTTCATCAACCTGATGATCACGAAGGTGAAGCGGGGTCGGGCTCGAGTGGCCACGAAGGGGCCGCGCCTGAGGTCTCACCGCCTCCTATGCCCGCTCAGAATCCAGCTGAACCAGCACCGACGCCGACCAGAGACCAGATCGACGAGAGCGAGCCACCACCAGAAGGTTACAACAAGCGGGAAGCCAGTAAGGAACCTTCTGAAGATCCAGATCCCAAGAGACATCGCGCCGACTTTGCTGGGTACGTGGGCCATCTGTGCCAGAAGGCGCCGACGCTTGTTATGCCCGAGCTCGGTCGTGCCGAGCCCGAATCTGACGGCAGTGCGACGTGGGTCTCACCCTGGGAGTATGATCAGAAGACGAAGGCTTCCGACCTGGTGGGCTTCGTGGGCGAGGACGAGCCGAACCTCGCGATCATGATCGGCTTCGCGCTGGAGGAGTCGGATATGGATCAACTCAGCCGGAGGCCTGACAAGGCCCTCGCCGCGATGGTCAAGCAGAACAAGGTCGAGGTGAAGCTCAAGAACCTTACGGCAGAGGACCGTGAGAAGCTCCCGATCGCGAAGGGTAACGAGATCAAGTCTTTCCTCAAGTATCGAGTCTGCGAGGCAGCCAGTCGTGCAGGAGTACACCCTGGCGCCCTGATGAAGATGAGATGGGTCATTACAAGGAAAGAGACGGGCGACCTTAAGGCTCGTTTGGTGGTTCTTGGCTTTACCGATCCGGGACTTGGGCGAATCAAGACCGCTTCCCCCACATGCAGTCGTCGAGCTCGCCAGGCTTTCCTGGGCGTCTCCGCCTCGATGGGCTTTCAGGTCTCCAAGGGTGACGTCAAGGCAGCTTTCCTACAAGGCGATCTCGGAGAAGAAGATCGAAATGTCCTGGCCGAACCAGTCAAGGAACTTAGGGAAGCCATGCGACTCGAGCATCACCAATGCGTCAAGCTCAAGAAGGCAGTTTATGGTCTGGTGAACGCTCCTCGCAGATGGTGGACGAGAGTTCGCCGGGACATGGCCAAGCTCGGCTGGGTGGAGTCTACGACAGAACCTTGCCTGTGGTGTTTACGAGAACCTGGAGGACAGCTCATAGGTCTGGCCGTAGCCCACGTGGACGACCTCATGATTGCGATTGACCAGCACTCGGACCTTGCAGTGGACGCCCTCCAGCAGCTCCATCGAGCCTATGAGTGGGGAAGCTGGGAGACTCAAGATTTTGTTCAGTGCGGGACGCGGATTCGACAATAATATGATGGACGCACGAAGTCATGGGGCCGTATCCATCTTAACATGACTGACTACGCCCAGGAGCTCGTGGAGATAGATATTCCCGCACATCGACGTCGTGACCCTGAGCAGCCGGTGACATCGTCAGAAGCTACCCGTCTACGAGCCGCCTTCGGTCAGCTCATGTGGTTAGCTACGCAGGGCGTGCCCCTCATCGGGGCAGAGCTGTCACTGCTGCTGGCTTACAGTAATTCCGCCACGGTGAATACTCTCCTGCAGGCCAACAAGCTCATCAGGCGCACCAAGTTCGAGGCGACCAAAGAGCTCATCATGGAGAAGCACGCGAATCCGTGTGTGGTCGGCTATTCGGACGCAGCCTGGAATGTTCGACGTGATGGTTCTTCACAGGGTGGTTTCTTGATCTTTCTGACCGACTATACCTTGATGCAGAACCGAGAGGCGCCGATCTCTCTGCTGGCTTGGGCATCGGCGAAGTTGCCGAGAGTGTGTCGGAGCTCGAGCGCGGCCGAGGTACAAGCCGCCAGTGAAGCTCAAGAGGAGCTGGAGTTTTGTAGGCTGCTGCTGAGCGAGATCCTGCTAGGACCCGCGCCTCTCAAGCAGTGGACTTCAAGCTGTGCGAAGATTCCTGGCGCTCTGGTCCTGGACTGCCGCGGCGTGTTCGATGCTCTGGATCGGTCCGAGAGCAGCGCCCTCGGCATGAAAGACAAGAGGAGCGCGCTGGAGGCCCTGGCCCTCAAGAGCGGCATGGCCGCCACATCCACATCCCTGAGGTGGTGTCACAGTGGTGCGCAGCTGAGCGATTGTATGACCAAGAACTCGGAGAAGGCTCGCGCCAGCTACAACCTTTGGCAGCAGCGAGGCACCTGGAAGTTGATATACGACGCTAATTTTATTTCCGAGAAGCAGAGAAGACAGCGAGGACTGCAGACACTAGACCAGGCCACATATTTCGCAGTTGATGACGACGATGCCTGGCAGTTGTACCCGGAGGATTTGGAGATCGAGGAAGAGGCAGATATTCCCCAAGACTTTCGTCTTCCGGAAGCGGTGAGCGTGATGAGACATGATGCTACCTCCGTGCAGTAGCCTACGCCACCTAAGGGGAATATTCTGTGCGTACAGCAGTTCTTTCTCACCCCCCCCTGAGCGCGAAATAACTTTACTATTTAAAACAGCCGGCCGTACAGATGGTTCGGGGCATGTGAATCTCATAGATTTCTAGGGTTCTGTGTGACTGGAGCTCCCGACCCTGTGTCCGTCCCGTTCGGGTCCTCGGAGCTCTTGAACCCATGTGCAACCACCCGCACGTGCTCTTTTTTCCTGTCCGTAGCCGTCCGGCTTATAGCCGGGCCAAGAGGCCCCTTTTGGCGATTTTGACATATCGGTCCGAAGCTCAGGGGGACCACGCGAGATAGAAAACGAGTTTCTCTCATCATCAACGTTGTGCTCTCACTTTGGACAGTATATCCAAGCTCTACGAGCCCACCGTTTCTGCTGTATTCCAAGCTCTGCGAGCTCAACATCTCCGCCTACCTACACAACCCTGAGGGTCATATCCTAGTGCTTGTGAGGGTTTCTCGAAGTGAAAGGCTGAAGATCCGTGGAAGACACGCTCCACTGACACCTCCCCCCCCTCCCCCCTCTGCGCGAGGCCGACAAACCTATCCCCCCTCCTCATTCCCCCCTCTGCGCGCGGCCTCGAGGCGCGGGGGCCCAGTGAACCCCCGAGGCCTGCTGCTGACCCCCGCCCGCGGCGGAGCGCGCCGCCGCGCGCCCTCTGCGGAGGGGGGCGCTGCCCCCGTGCGGGTGGCGCGGGCCACGTGGCGTCCTCGAGCCGGCTCGGGAACGGAGCCACAACTGGGCGGCGAGCCAAGGCGGGTCTCACGTCATGCTGCTCCGATCGTACTTCAGGACCACAGCCCAGAAAAATAGTTTCGAGCACCCAGAAAAGTGTGGGAACAGTGTCGTACGAGTATCGCCTCCCAGGGCCCGGTGATCAAGGCTACAGTAGGTTGGAGCATCATAGATCTCACGAGAGACGGCGTACGCAGCGAACTTCCGCCGCGGCCTGCGCGAGCCGCCGGCGCGGCACGCCACACTGTAGACGAGGGCGCTGACGCGGGACCCTACGCGAGCAGCTTACGCAAGGATGTCGGCGCACCCGGCCGCGTTGTCTTGCGTAGCTCAGGCGGCGCGCACAAGAAGGCCACATGTTTTCAAAGATGGTCAGGCCTTCCTGGCGCTGGCCTTGCCGAGAGACATGTGCACGCTCGGACGATGCCAAGCCAGAGGCCCAAAAAGCCTCCATCACCGCAGGCTCGAGCTCCGACCAATCGCTCGGAAGATTGGCGGCGCGCACAGAGGGGGGCAGGGGAGGGGGGAAGGCTTCATAGGAGGCTGCTTCTTAGAAGGCGCGGACTCTGCATCTGCAAATGAGGCCCGCGTCTTCTAAGCAGCAGGGGTGCTTCTAAGAATCCTTTTCTTCTCCCACTTCCCCCCCTCCGAGAGTGGCTGACATAACCAGCCCTTGATCCTACCCCAGACATGCTCGCGTCGTGAAAAAGCAGGAAGGGATTTGTCTTCGCCCCTTCTGGCCGCCTCACCGGACCCAGGGACCATCAATAGCGACTCAGGATGAGAAGCTGGTCCCAGGGAAGAGGTCCAGTCTTCAGGGGACTACGTATTGAATAAATCAGGACGTCGCATGTCTAGGATCCTAGCGGAACAAAGAGTTACTTAAACATGAAGATTTTGATGTCCAAGCAGATTCCTCGGATCGGCGCTGGGGTCCCCTGACGGCGCCTCGAGCACCAGTCCGAGAAATCTGCGCGGACCTCTTTTGTGTATGTTTATGTCGTTCTCTGTTCCCCTATATCGCTGACCCTCAGATTGGCAAGCCCGAAGGCGATGACAATCTTCGGGATGCGCCCTCAGAACCTGAGGGGATCCACAAGGTCGGTATCGAGATCAAATGGTTCCCATCGTAAGGATAGGGCTATGTTCCAGGCTAGTAACGCATGGAGTCCTCAAACCGGCTCGAGAACGTTGCGTGCAAGACTTGTATCCGTATCCACTGCGTCTTGGAGTGTCGGGTTCCCTCTTCCAGATAAACCAAAGGCGCAGTGGAATACAAATCTGGACCCCAAAGGCTAGATGTCTACCCATATCCACTGCGCCTCGGCCTTTTGGCGCCCTTTCCCAGACAGTCCAAAACGCAATGATTAGCTATGGATAGAAACCTTGCCCACAAACGTAATCAACGAAACACACACACAACACAACAAACACTTCAGCGGGCTTCTGAGACCTGCGCTGGACCCCCCCCTCCCTGGAGCGCGGAACGCGCCCCCTGACGCCCGATCCAATCAATCCGCGCGGTTCTCCGAGAGCTCATGTTTATGACATGTTCTCTTCTTCAAGAAGTGTGGCCCATCACCAAGCCCGTCTGGACCAGCACAAGAACGGACAGTGGGCACGAGCAACAGTAAATAACAGCCTCGTGTCGCCATCCTCGGCGTCCGTGGGACGCCTCTGGACCCGGCTGTCATCAAACAAGGACAGCCAGGGCACAAAGCCTGTCCGCGGGCAGGGGTCGGGCCCGTGCATCGAGAAGCCAAGGCGTCGGAGGTCTCGGCACGGCGAGGGCATTGGATCAGGAACCACTGGATGAGGAACCCAGGGTCCGAAAGTCGGTGCAGCTTCAATCGCGGGTTGGCCATGGATATCACCGCCGCCCTCATCAGAGAAATGAAATCGCCGGCCCAACGGGCCAGAGGCGTGCTAAGATCTCCAGCAACGTGTTAGCAATTCTTCTAGTTCGCGCGCGCGGGGCGGCCCCTGGGAGTCCCCCGGCGAAAAGTACCCCGACCGCAGCCCGGGAAGGTCTACTCAGAGATGGTTTTGAGGGCCTTTTTTCGACACCCCTCACGAGGATTGTGGCCTCCGAGGGGGGTGCACTCGACTACCCCGCCCCAAGAGGCCCCCAAGAGCCCCCCAAGAGGCCCAAGGGGGCCCCAAGACGCCGCCAAGGAGCCCCAAGAGACCCCCAAGAGGCCCCCAAGAGGCCCCTAGGAGGCCCCAAAGAGGCCCCCAAGAGGCTTCAAAGAGGCCCCATAGAGCGCTCGAGGGCCGGCGGAATGAGCGAAGCGATTATATTTCAGGATCCCAAGCCTCCAGGGCACATTCCTCAACGATCGCCCCCCCTTCCTGTTTCGGGCCAGGCGATTTCTGCACACCTCCACCTCATTGGGAAATCGCCATGCCAGCGAAGGGCAATCCTCAATTGTGTCAAGTTGGCGTTAGTGACTCGGTAGTGGGTACATGCGGAGGGCATACCCTCGTCAAGAAATGCTCTGCGCCTCACGACTCACCAAGCTCAATGGATACCACAAGCGCATCGTTTTTGAACGCAAGCGTTGAAACACTGTGTCCGAGTGAAGAATGCAATGTCTGTCGTGGTGTCCACACTGCCAATAGCCAAGAACACTGTGACATGTTGGTGCGAAACGAATGCGTCGAGACATAGCGGAAACACGTGTGGAAGCTGCGGCACCCATGCCCGTATTGTTGCAGTCCGAAGGAAGTACCAGGGTCTGCCCTTACGAAACAAACATGAACGAACGGCCTGAAGATACCCCAGTGGACGGAACTGTCGTGAAATGAAACCCGATGTGTTCCACGCAAGATGGCCGATCTGACGTCCTGAGGACAGCATGCCAACATACTCACTCTCATGACCGAAGTCTTGCTCGCACGGGTCAAACGCGTTGTTGTTCAAACACTCGGCACATGGACTACTATCGACGAGTATTCACACATGGGTGCTGGAGCCGCCGCTCACCACTTGTCATTGCGTCCGTTATGCTTCGACTTGCACCTGCTTGGTCATCCTCTGGATTTCCCTTCTCTCATCCATCTCGGGACAACGCTGTGACTTTGTGCTGCGAGGCCTTCTTGTCAGCACTGCCACGCCAACCACCGCAAAAGCAGCCTCCCTCCCTCAACTCCATGGTGATCCTTGCACACGGCTTCCAGCGTCCTCTTCGAAGGAAACATGGCGCCGCATACGGCCGCCCAACGGGTGGGCCAAAATGGGCTGCGCGCGACCGTAACGTCCCAACCTCCGAGGCCTTCCCGGCCGGCAAATCCCAGACCTCTGGCGGATTCTCTGTGACAAGCACGGCGCTCGATCGGTAAGAACATTCATTTGGGACGAGAGCCTGCCCCCCAAGGACACGGGGCGACAACCGATCCCTTGGCAACCTGCATCCAAACATGCTGGTGTCTCACGTATACTTCCTCTGCCGCCTGCCTGCCTCCCGTTGGCGGAGACTCAACCGTGTTATGAGGGGGAAACCATGCCTACCTCGCTTTTGACCACCCTCGCTTCCAAGAAATACCGAACGATGCCAAACTACGGCCTGTACTGGTCAGGCCGCTTGACGAGGAGGCGCGTGGTATGACTTGGTTTTGCCTGGAAGCGAAAGCGGGGTAGGTAATTCACGCTCTGATGCCTCCCGTTGGCGGAGACTCAGCCGTGTTAGACCTCCGCCTGCTTCCGCAGGGTCCTGCCGAGAAAGCGCTGCCGGGCTCGGGATCCTCCGGGAGCGAGGCCCCTGCTGGAACTGCCCGTGCGGCCCGCGGACAGCAAGAACCACAGCGTCGGGTGTCTGGGATGTCGGCCCCTGCCGGGCCATCCTGGGGTGTGAGCATCCAGCCATTGAGCAGGGACCGACCGTCCCGGCATCCCTATAGTCCTACCACGAAATGTTCTTAGAACCCCCATTTTCTGAGAACAAGAACAATGTTCTTAGAACATAGAGCCCGATGTGGTAAAACAAGACAGACTCCGCCAGAAATATTCTAAGAACGTTTCGTGGAGACCACAAAAGGCTCTCAGAACATTGTTTGGTGGGGCTATAGGCGAGCCAGGACGCTTCGCCACTGCTTGAGAACATCCAGCCACGCTTCAAGCCTGCGACACCCTGGCCCAAGAATTCTCGATCGACCCACTCCGGGTGCTGTCTGCTGCCGACCCTGTGCCTCCCCCAGAAGCAGCCCTCGGAGGCAGAAGGCTGCCCCGCCTA